AATATATATATATATATATATACTCATGTGTCTATCTTTTCTTCTCTATTATTACTTTCCCTCTCTCTCTCTCTCTATACCTTCATATCTCCCTGTTTGCCCCTCTCCTTGTCTGTGTCTTTCTGTCTCTGTGTATATTTGTTCTTCGTGTCTGCCATCTAAAGAATGCTAAGAGGAAGAATATAATTAATAAATAAAAAAAGAGACAAACGCGGATAATTATGGTGTATGTATGCATTGCACCGCTACTGAGGGGAAGCAGCACCTTCGTGTTTTTTTAACAACTCAAGAGCGTCTGCATGCACAGAAATAAATCAATGAGACAAATGTTATGATATATGCACGCATGCATCCATATATAAAATTATTGATATCTCAACATATATAATATATGTGCGTACATATAAATGTACGTTAAATGTATGTACGTATATATACGTATTATGCACGTATGTGCATATATATGGATTAGACGCGTGCATGTATGCATATATATATGTGCGACCATGCACATATGTAATATGTATAATATATACTATATATATATACATATATGCGTATATATACATACATGAGGGCTGTTGTCTGCAAGGCTTGGTCCGTCGTGAAGCTGCTGCATGCATGCGTTGATGTTGCAAGTTGGGGTTTTTATGCAACAAAACAAGGAAAAGGACTCAAGAAAAAGGAAACAATTGGATACATAACAGTATATAAGAAGACAAATAACCTGTCAATACAGCAATAATACACATTGAGTGTGAGGAAGCAGAAACTGGCGGATATAGTCGAGCAACAAATACAGCAGCCCCCTTTCGTGTGTCTCTACTGTTGTTTGCTTTCTCTCTCCTCCTCTGTGAGCATTCTTCCCTCCTGCTGATGAAGCAGGCAGGGAAAGCCTAAAGGGGAACACATGGCTTTTTGCTATGGGATGCAGCCGCGTGAGACCCCCTGAACTAAGAACGAGCGGCAGTACTGCTGAGCAAGGCAGTAATTTTATCATGGCAAATTGCATGCATTAAAAACATAACACTGGAATTTATAGGCAATTAATTCTTATTGCAAGGAAAGATGGAGGCAGGTGCAAGCAGCAGTGGCAAGAGGGAAAAGTAACACGTGTAGGTATATATTATCTCAGCATATTGAGGTATACGTCCTAACATTTATTAGCATGTTTTGTGTGTAGATGTACAGGTTGTACGGTTGTAGATGCTAAGGTAGATAATGGTAGATGCGATTACGGTAGATTATTAGGAAATTAGACGGGTTGATGCTCATGGGAGGATGTAGCAGCCTGCTGAATATAGTATATGTATGGGGGTGTATAAGCATAGTGGATGCATTATAAACATTTTTACATACATTACTACTACTTAGTTATGCAGGTGAAGCAGTCTTGTGACTAAGTTCTTTCTATTTCAATGAGCGTCGGTGGTGTTTTTGCATCGCTGCTGCTGCGGAGATTTTCCTTCTCTAACCCTCTTCTAACATCCTTTTCTGTTTCTAAGAACTATAAAATAATAAGAATAAGCTTTAGATAAAAAAACTGCTGTTCTGACCAAGCAGACCACCGGTGGCCGCTGGTGACATTTCCTTTGCGTTCCCATGCAGGACCTTAACTGCCCTGAAATTTTGGTCTTTTATGTTGAAATATAAAACAACAGACGACTAAAAATTAAAAAATGAATAAAAATTTTAAATTTATTCAAAAATAGATGCCCAAAAGACCGTGTCAGTTGCTGCTGCTGCTATGACGCCCTTAATGGTCACTGGTGAACACGGAGGAAATTTGCGGGTGTTGTTTGTCTGATCTCTATCAAATCTTTGTCATTTGTTTCTTTATTTCCTTTATTTATTCTTTTTTGTTTTTGTTTGTCATTTTTTTGTCTAATAAGGGGATTGCCAAGTACCTGTTCCCCGATTTGTCGGTATTTTTGTGTGGCGCTGCCGCCTTCGCCGGATGGGCGGACTGTGCTTAGGGGGGTCAGCAGCAGTCATTTTGTTCTCTTTTATTTGTTTTTCTTGTTGAAATGGCATTTGCTTTAGCTAATGTTGCAGTTACTCTGCTATTTGTGGTGGTTCTATTGTCTGGATCAGCCGTACAGGGCATTTCTCAGCCGTCAGTTCGCGAGATCGTTAAGAATAGACTTATTGCAGGATTCAAGGAAGGGTGTAATCCGCAAGAAACTTCCCTTCATAGCCTACAGCAAGCTGTAAGGACAGCTTATGTAGATCTACAACGACGAGAAGGGAAGAAGACCGAGGTGTCTTCTGCGTAAGATCCAGTTGTATAGCCCTTTTCGTCTGTCTCTAATCAGGTGTTTAAGTGTAGTGGATATGAGGGTGTCTGTATAAAAGGACTCATGCATGCAAACATATTTATATCTGTATAGTATATTATACTTCTTTTTTCCCCTTTTAATCCATATGATTAAGGTGTATTGATAGCAAGCCCCAAGGGTGCCGAGAAAAGTTGCATGCAAGAAGACTGCAACCTTGTTATATCCATAAAATATTATCTTTAATTTATGCATTACTATTTAAATGTTTTATTGTGTTCATATAATTTCGTCTTATTTCTGTTGCTGTTTCTGTTGCTTTTGTTGCTATTGCTGCTGCTGTTGCTGCAGGTTGGTACTAAATGTCCACGAAACATCTTCTGAAGATTATACAACATACAGCAGAACACAGACATTATTTCAATTACAATTATCTGAATATGGTGGATATAGATTATCTTCATTAAATTTAAATTCAATACAAACAAATACATGTATAATTAATCAACAACATCTAAAAAAAGTAGGAGTTAGTGTTGTATCTGTTACAGATTGTCCTCTTGTTGCAGCAGAAATGGATGCAGCACTTACTGCATTCAGGGAAAATAGTTGTGTTGCTTTCGTAGAAAAAGATTCTATACAAAATCTTTATCCAATCTTTGAGGGTCCTCCTATTGATGAAGCTGCAATGGTCAGTACCACACTACCAATCCATTAGGGTTTAGGGTTTAGGGTTTAGGGTTTAGGGCTGTTTCCTATGTAATTCCCTGTTTCCTGTTTCCCATTTAGTGTTTATAGGGTTTCTTGGGTTTCGTCTGTTTCGTTGGTTCCATGTTTCATGATTAGGGTTTAGGGTTTAGGGTTTAGGGTTTAGGGTTTAGGGTTTAGGGTTTAGGGTTTCCATATAATCTGAAAGTTTTCTATCTGAAATTTTGAACATTTTTTTTTACGGTTTCTTTTCTTGATGTACGTGACTAATTGTTTTTAGGGTTTAGGGTTTAGGGTTTAGGGTTTACGTATGTTATGTATGTGTGTGTGAATGCAGCGTAGTACCCTTGCATCTGGTGGTGGTACTTTACCATATTGGCTAGAAGTAGCTAGTGTAGATAGAGCATGGAAATTAAGTCAATGTGATAGAGAAGTAGTAGTAGGTGTAGTAGATACAGGAGTAGCAATAGAGCATCCAGATTTATCAGGTAATATATGGCGTAATGAGTACGAGGTACCAGGTAATGGTATAGATGATGATAGGAATGGGTATATAGATGATATAAATGGTTATGATTTTTACCTAAAAAGAGCACAACTAACAGACCCTCATGGTCATGGTACTCATTGTGCAGGTATAATAGGTGCAACACCTAATACAACAACAGCACAAGGAGTATGCAAGAAAATAAGTATTGCTGGGTTACGCTTTCTTGATGATAATGGATCAGGTGCTACTTCTGATTCAATAGAGGCAATAAATTATTCAATAGAGATGGATTTCCATCTAACTAGTAACTCATGGGGAGGACCAGATGTATCTAGTGGCTTACTACAATCAATAAAAAGAGCTAATGATATAGATCAATTATTAATATCTGCGTCAGGAAATAGTGGTAATAATGCAGATATAAGACCTGAGTATCCAGGTGCATACAAGGTAGACAATATAATAAGTGTTGCAGCTACTGATGAGCACGACAGATTGGCGAACTTTAGTAACTATGGAGTAAATGCTGTACATATTGCTGCTCCTGGTGTATTTATTATATCTACTTTCCCTCCTAATACTATTAAATCCTTATCTGGTACCTCTATGGCTACTCCTGTTGTATCAGGAATTGCTGCTATGCTTCTTTCCTTACGACCTATGCGTGTACAAGAAATTAAGGAAATTATCTTCACCACTGCAGATAAACCAAGAACTCTTAAGGGTATATTTATTTATTTATTTATTTATTTATTTATTTTATTTATTTTATTTATTTATTCTTGTTTATTTATTTTATTTTGTTTTTTTTTTTATTTGTTTGTTTGTTTAGTTGGTTGGTTGGTTGGTTGGTTAGTTTTCTTTTCTTTGTTTGTTTCGTTGGTTGGTTAGCTATTCTTGTTTATTTTATTTATTTTATTTATTTATTTATTTATTTATTTTATTTATTTATTTTATTTATTTATTTTATTTATTTTATTTATTTTATTTATTTTATTTATTTATATGCAGATAAACTAAGAACAGGAGGAAGAGTAAGTGCTGCTTATGCTATTTGTGTAGCAAAGGCACAAACACCACCAGAGGCAAGAGCAACAAGAGATTTAAGAAAAAGAGGAAGAGGAGGAGGAAGGAACAGCAGCAGCAGCAGCAGAAATAGAAGTAACAGAAAAACATCCACAGGCTGCAGCAAGATAAATACTCGCAAAAAGAAAAGCAGCAGCAGCAACAACAGCAACAAACAGCAGCAGCAACAGCAGCAACGGCAGCAGCAACCGTTGCAGCTGCTGCTGTTGCTGCTGCTGCTGCTGCTGCTGCTGCATATAGGAGAATTATACAAATATTTAATTATATATATTATTGTATTTTTGCCATTTATTTATATTTATTTATATTTATATTTATATTTATTTATATTTATTTATACTTATTAATATTTATTAATAATAATATTTATTTATATTTATTTATATTTATATTTATTTATATTTATTTATTTATTTATTTATTTATTTATTTATTTTCTTTTTTATCTACTAGAGATACACCCAAGAACTTTCTTCTCTTTCTTTATTTTGTCTTTCTTTATTTGTTTATTTATTTTTGTCTCTATTTATTTATTTATTTATTTATTTATTTATTTATTTATTTATTTATTTATTTATTTATTTATTTATT